CCCCCTGGTGGCCGCGGAGAACTCTGGCGCAGGCGGCCCGGGAGACCAGCAGAGCAGAGCGCAGGTCACCGGGGCAGAAGCGGTCAGTCAGAGAGGCGGCGCTCACAGCCTGTTGGATTGTCAAGAAGCCAAGACAGGACAGAGGAAAGCAAGAGAGATCGTTGGAAGGGGTGACCTGTGTGTGTTGTGGGGTGTGTGTGGGGGGTTGGGGTAGCGGAGGACTGATCAGGGCTGGAGAAGGGAAGGAAGGAGGGATGTCTAGGGGCCTGGAGGCTGGAGTGGCCTGATGGTCCCACCGTGTGGCCGGGGTCAAATGGTAGCCCTCTCTTCCCTGGGCCTCTATCTCTCCCCCAGACCAAATCCGGGAGGCGGAGAACCAGAGACTGACATGGGAGGCAGGCGGGGGAGACTGAGGCCAGGGTCCTGGGGTGGCGGAGAGAGGGGCTGGGGATGCTGACCAGACGGAGCGCCTCCGTGGGGTGGAGAGGCTGGGGCCTCAGGGAAGTCGCTTTCCTGGGCTGTGAAGTGGGCGCGACGTGAGACCAGCACTGTCTCTCCCCGCACAAGTGACTTCTGATGCCTGTGCTGAGTGTCAACGTCCCACCGCCCGTCCTAAGGCTCATCCTTTCCTCCAAGGGCTGCAGCTGCTGAGAGCCGGCGCAGCCTGAAAGCCTTTTAAAAGGTGAACGGTGATAGAGGGCAAAGGCCAGCTGAGCCACGGCACGCTTTCCCCTAACAGTCCATTATGGAAAGTATCAAACGTACAGGAAGAGCGAAGGTGAACTCCGGTATAACCACCGATGCTGAATCCTCAAGATGCTCCAGAAGAAGAAGATGGAGAGAATAAGTCAGCCTGATGTTACTGCCCTGGCTGGTTTGGCTCAGTGGTTGGAGCGTCGGCCCGTGGACTGAAGGGTCCCGGGTTTGAATTCTGTTAAGGGCATGTATCTCAGTTGCAAGCTGGGTTCCTAGCTCTGGGGCAAGCAATGTGTCTCTTACATCATCAATGTTTCTCTCTCTCCCACCCCCTCCCACTCTGCCTGAACATCAATGGGAAAAATATCTTCGGGTGAGGATTAACAACAACAACAAAAGACAGTTTGATATTATGATATTAGCCTCAAGACAGATTCCAGCAGGCATGGCTCAGTGTTTGAGCATCGACCTGTGAACCAGGAGGTCAGGGTTTGATTCCCGGTCAGGGCACATGCCTGGGTTGCGGGCTCGATCCCCAGTGTGGGGCGTGCTGGAGGCAGGCGATCCATGATTCTCTCCCATCATTGATGTTTCTATCTCCCTCTTGCTCTCTCTTCCTCTCTGAAATCAATTAAAAAATATTTTTTTTAAAAAATAGGCAAATGGGGCATCAAACAGAAACCAGAACCAGAGACTCACACGCAAAAACATGGATGTGTCAGAGGCAGCAACACATTGGGAGGAGGGAGAGAAGGAAGTATGATGGACTATTGGGTAAATTGTGCCAAGAAAATGGGTTAACCATAAGAGAAGACATGACATTGGACCCCTACTGCATTTCACACACAAGATATCAGGTTCACGTGGATTGGAGACCTAAATAGGAAACGTCATACTTTAAACATTTTTAGAAAGAAACACAGGAGAATATCTTGATTCCTTTAAGGTCAGGAGAGATTTCTTAATCCAGAAAAGCAGATTGTAAAGAAAAAGGTTGAAAAAGTTCGTTAACAATAAAATGAAAAACTGTCGGTCAAAACCCGCAACCTTTTGGTGCATGGGACGATGCTCTAATCAACTGAGCCACCCGGCCGGGGCGTGTGACTATTTTTATGACCGGCAATTTGTACTTCTTCATCTTTCAACTTTTCCGCCCATCCCCCCACCTCCCTCCCATCTGGAAAACATCAATTTGCTCTCTGTATCTCTGAGTTTATTTCGGTTTTGTTTGTTCATTTGTTTTGTTTTCTTGGATTCCACATGTAAGTGGAAATCATACGGTATTTGTCTTTCTCACCATGGATATTGAGCACAAAAAAAAGCAAGTTTCAAAATAAGACACGCTCTGTAAGCTCAAAACCACCAGGATTTATAAGACTAACGCACAAAAATCTGTTGTGTCGGTATTATACACCAGCCATAAACAATCCAAAAGGAAATTCAGACAGCAATTCCATTTACAGTAATATCCCAACGAATTAAATACCTGGGAAGAGATTGAAACAAGGAGGTGAAAGACTTGTGCACTGAAAACTACAGAACATTGTTAAAATAAATGAAAGAAGACCCAAATAAGTGGAAAGACATCCGTCTTAATGAACTGATAGATTTAGTTTTGTGAAAACGGCAGTACTACCCAAGCAACGTACAGATTCAACACAATTCCTATCAAAATTCTAATGACCTTTTTAAATTTTTTACAGAGGGGAAGGGAGAGAGATAGAGAGTTAGAAACATCGATGAGAGAGAAACATCGATCAGCTGCCTCCTGCACATCTCCTACTGGGGATGTGCCCGCAACCCAGGTACATGCCCTTGACCGGAATCGAACCTGGGACCTTTCAGTCCGCAGGCCGACGCTCTATCCACTGAGCCAAACCGGTTTCGGCAAAAAATATATTTTTTTATTTATTTCAGAGAGGAAGGGAGAGAGAGCTAGAAGCATCAATGAGGGTGGGGTGGGAACCCGGTGGAGGGGAGCTATGGGGGTAAAAAAAGAGGAACAACTGTAATAATCTGAACAATAAAGATTTAATTAAAAAAAAGAAACATCAATGATGAGAGAGACTCATTGATCAGCTGCCTCCTGCACGCCCCACACCGGGGACCGAGCCGGCAACCTGGGCATGCGCCCTTGACTGGAATCGAACTTGGGACCCTCCAGTCTGCAGGCTGACGCTCTATCCACCGAGCCAAGCCGGCTGGGGCCCTATGTCATCCTTTATTCTTTGTGTGAGGTCCTCACATTCATTATGAAATCACTCCTCGGGCGTTGGAGGCCCCTCGGTGTCCATGGAGAGTCTTGCTCCTCGGACTCTGTGAATGTCCCAGCCCATCTGTCAGCCCGGAGGACAAGGCTGCCAGGACACACGCTGTAATTAGCCCGTCCGTGGCTTCCCCATCTGCCTACTTTCACTACTTGTCCCCTACCTCCCACCCCCCCACCCAGGCAGGGGGTCCTCCCCCCCCCCCACACACACACACACACACACACACACACACACACCAACCAGACGAAGATCCTTGCCAACCTCTGTTCCCGCGGACCTAGAATGTGCTTCTGTTTCCCCACAAACATACACATCCTAGCCCCCCATCAGTGGCAGCTGGGAGCCCTTGTGAACTTGGTGAGTAACCAGAGCTCTTACCCTGTGGTTACCCCCTGCAGGGCAACCCTGGCTTACCCTGGAAGAGACACGTTCTTGAGAATGTAGTCTCCACGTGAAAGGGGGTAGCCCGGCCTTCTGCTTGGGGTGGGGTGGGGTGGGGTGGGGTGGGGGCTGGCGGAGGAGCCAGAAGTCGCCGCTGGAGGGAGTGTAAACTCGGGAACAGGGCAGCAAGGCACCAGAGCTTGGCTGCAGGGAGATGAGTGTCGGGCAAGGCCCTGCTTGGGAGCAGAGCACCTAAAGCCGGGGAGCCTGGAGGACCCCAGGGGGAAGGAAGGGATCCCAGCTGGAGAAGAGGGGGGCCCCCGGGCCTGGTGCTGACCCCCAGGTCCCCAGGTTCCCAGACGGACAGACAGAATGCTCAGCCAGAGGATCCAGGCCTGCAGGTGGGTTACAGCTTGCTTCGCTTCTGAGGCTGGGCGGGGAGCTGGCAGGGAGCAGGGCTATCACTCTCACCATGTCCCTCTGGGCCAGCCAGCTCCCTTTGCCTGGCCTGTGCCCACCTGTGAAGTGGGAGACTCAAGGATTTAGGGGGGGGGCCCTTCCCGTAGACATGCTGTGGCTCCGAGTGGCTCCTGTCTTGGAGTCCAGGCTCTGGGCCAGGCCGTGAGCTGTTTGGAGGTCCCCACTGCCCCCCTCTCTCCCATAGGAGGACCTAGAAAGAAATGAAACTGTTAATGAAAGCGCAAGGCAGGGGGTGTGTGGCCCCAAATGGGAACAGGGTAGGGGAGATGAAATGTTTTAGACTCAGTGCCAGGAACAAGGGGTGTGAGGGGGCTGTGGGCTCCCTGGGCATGAGATGGGCTCTCCAGCGTGGTACCTGGCTGTGCTGAACAGAGAAGGCATTCCGTGAGCCCTCGGACGGTGGTGCTGGCAGGAGGAAGGGGGTTAGGGAACTGGAGAGCAGGTGCCTGCGGCCGGCCCTGAGCTTGCACCTTGGCCTCCTGAGCTGCCAGGGGCCCATGCAGTTAAGTGGC